ACTGTCTCTCAAAGAAATTAAAAATGTATCTTCAAATTAACAGCACTTGTTTAAGCATCTTTGCTGGAATCCTAGTATGTTAGTGGGGATACACAAACAAAGCTGGCCAAACACTCCATCTTCCAAAGACAAATCCATTTCATGGTGTTTTAGAATTGTTGCGGCAACCTAAAATCCCCCTGCTGCTTTGCTGAACTCGGATACAAGACACACGTGTAAAACCCGTTCAGTTGTGAATTACAGGAGTGAAAGAAAGAGGGAGACAGAGTATGCCAGTGACAGAAATCCTGTAGGAGCGAGCGGACAGTATCCATGAGAAATGTCTGCATTCAGCCTTCCACACTGACTGTGGCCCTCAGGTAACTTTTGAGAAGTTCTCTAATAACTCGGGCATCATGTATCTTTGGCATTGAGTTTGTGCAACCAGAGTCAATACTAAACGTTATTGGTATGCAACAGTACCCGAGGCATGTCTAAAATAAAGGAATGCCTTACAAGCCTTCCCCGCCCCCCCTCCCCCCCCTCAGTTGGTGGGCAACAATCCATTCCTATGCAGATTCCCAAAACGAGTGTTGCAGCGGTCTAATCTATTTTGCCTTTTTTTTGCTATGACATGATGAATGTATTTTGCAGTAACTTCTATGAAGCTTATTGTAGGATTCCATGTGCCTAGTTTAGGCATTTACTCTACATTTTAATTTTACAGTATAGGTAGGCAAGAGACCTGTCCATTGTCTGTACAGAGAACTTGAGAGCTACACCAGTTTGCTGTCACTGTAGAGGCTTGTGGAAGAACTATAATTAGTTTGCACAGAAATGTATTGGTGCAAAGTACCAGAGGAAACAACCAGAGAAGGACATAAGATATTAATAGCACAGAGAACATTGGTTTTGTTTAAACCATACGATAAACAATACATTTCCTTTCCCAGTCTTCCAGTGAACTTCGTACAACCACACCTACAATATAAGTATATGTTAGGTACTTGGATCCCAAGGTTAATTATTAATATTGCAATGGACTATTTATCCTGAAAAAGATAGTATACGTGAAACCTACATTCAGTTAGCTCCAGATAGACTGTAGTTCTGTGTTACTGACAAGCAGGGACAAACCCTAACTTCAGGATGATGATGTTTTACAGTTTCCTTAGGATTCATATGCTTTCCCCACTCACTACCTGCCCAAAGGCCAAATGCATTTACATGCTGGATTTTTTCACTGGAAAATATCACATCTTGCCCTAACTCACACCTTGTCGGCTCTCCAGCTTGTTCACAAAGCTGATGTGGGATCCTAGCTGTTACTCTTTGGATTCTTCAGAGCAATGTGCCAGGGGCTGGAACATCTGGTGGAACACTTCTCTGTCTAGTTTTGGGATCAATAAACATTGTCTTTCATTATTATTAAACACTTAGAATAGAAACTGCAATGACAAAATACTGGAGACATGCCTGTTGGAGCAGAAAGCAAAGCAGAACACGCCTAATCTTTTACCGTAACAGTTTGCCTGGTTGGAGCAGAAAGCAAAGCAGAACACGCCTAATCTTTTACCGTAAGGGTTTCTTCTGTGGTGAAAAAATCTCAGCCCTTCTCCTCTTTCTGGCTCATTCACCTGCTGACCAACCTGACTGATCGGTTATGCAAGTTCAGGGACAACCTGGGGAATTGATCCGGGTTAAGAAGTAATCTTACACAAAACACAACACAGAACCGGGGAACAAAATGTTCTTTGTGACGTTGCTGGAGTGCAGGTTTCAGTGAGAAATGTCTCGGGCGTGATTGTATTTCAGTTATAGAATACCTCACAGAAAAACTTAACATGAACACGTACACGTGATTAACCCAAGTAGCTCATTCCAGCCTCATGGCTGAGACCAGGTTGAACCGGTCTGATTAACCACTTTAGTGGAGTAGTGGATTCAGGCTATTCTTTGGAACTGCTGTCCCTCTTAGCTTGGAGATAAAAACCAATTTGGGCAAAAGTTCAGTGCAAGCTGAGAAAAAACCCAAAAATCTAGCAAAAAGCAAAAGATTTTATTCACTTCTGCTCCTCTCCAATTGTCCTCAATAATGCTGTTGATAAAAAAAAGAGGAACAGAAATAAAAATGAGCTTTTAAATAATTTAAAAAATCTTTCTGGACTGCTTTCACTTTTTTTTTTGCGAGGTATATTAGTTCTCTAATCTCTGTCTGAGTTAAAGATAAACAGATATTGAAAGCAAGCCAACCAGCACAGCGTTCATGGGTTCACATCTTAAGGAAACACAAGAGCTCACGTGTCTCTAGAATTACTCACATTCATCGAGCTGGGAAGTAGTAGCACACATTTCCGTGGGCACTGAACGGAGAGCAGAGGAGGTAAGTATGCCTGAAATTATTAAAAGAGTAGATCTCTACTCTTCAAAGAGTAGTTACGTAACCCTCCTTTTAGACGATTTTGGCATGTACTGTGAGAAAGAGATGCAGAGAACTAGGGGGTAGAGCTGGTCTGTGCTTGAGGACGGCTGTCCAGAGCAAGGTTACCTCGGTGCTGGTGTGGAAACTGGAGTCTCACATGGGCTTTTCTGTATCACTCAACAAAGAGACTGGAGTTGTAGCTGTGAGATAATTAACTAATCAGAGTAAAAGTGTGTGGTTACCGTGGATTTAGGAGATTAACTGGCAGACACCTGTGTGTCTGCATTTGGAGACAGATTTTTGAGATGTGTTTCTGAGATGTGTATCTGGCTGGCACGAGCACACCTAAATGTTTAGCCTTTCTCCCATCATATACACTAGAACATGAATAGGCTTTCCAGGAAATGGGGCAAGGCTTTTTTTCCATTGTATATTTTTTCACGGTATATTCATATATCTGTAAGAAACAAGCAGTGCAATAACGGTTGTCCTGAAGTGATATAAAAACTCTTGGTTTTGACAGAACAAGATCAAGAAGGTTTCTGTATAATGTGTCCCCTTTCTGTTTCCCACAAATTCCTTGCCCTTTCTCCCGTATCAGTAGCATTTTTTCACTCATTCTCCATACCTTTGCATTCTAAAGATTTCTCCAGCTTTGTTATCACAATGTCAATTTAAAAGTGTACCAACTCCTTGGTTTCTACATGTGGGTTTTTCTCCATTTAGAGCTCTGATTCTTTGGGGGTTGTTTCGGTCAGTGAAGCGCAGGCTTCACCTCGAGGCTGAAGCACCAAGAAGGCTTCAGAGCAGGCGGTGCCTGTTGCCATGAGGTGAGGCAGGCAGCCCCTCACAGCACACAGCGGTGGTTCCCCTCCCTGCCCTTGCTGCCCTGGCCGTGGCCCACACCACCGGCATGGCCACACTACTTTGCCCGCGCGTCTTTGGCAGTAGACCTGAGCTTGTGCATCCCCCAAAGCAAAGGATTTTTTGTTGTTTGATGATACCAAGTGTGGGTGTTAATAGATCTCACAAAACAAAGGCGTGTGTTTGTCTTAAAAGTTGGTAGCACTGCACGCCCAAGTTGTTGCATAGATCAGGGTCTGCCACAGCCATTGCCAAGTCTGACAGCCTTCTGTGTGTCCTCCTGCAGCCGCTGGAAGTAACCTGGCCCTGTCTGCCTGGGGCAGGGTGGGCAGACGGGTGTTCCTAGTCATGGCAGTGGCCGCCGCTGCGCCCCTTCCCCTGCCCTGCCGAGCAGCCATGCCAGCAGCGATCCCCAGGTGCTCTCCTGGGGATCCGAGTGGGCACCTGAGTGGGAGGGCAGGTCCTTGGCCACATGGGTCCAAGGGCAATGCTCCTGCCAAAGCATCCAGCCAGGGCAGTTCACAGACCTGGAAGGCAAAGTGAAGGCAGAACACGAACTGGAGAGAAGCTAATGAGGACAGGTGGGATTGGCGGCCTCATTTCCAAGGACTGCCTGTTGTAGTGAATTCAGATCACTTTGGCAGGATTGTGTCTTGCGCAATCATCTAGTTTGACAAACCTGGGCAAGGGTGATAACCCAACCGCTGTTGGTGACAGCCAGATTGTGAAGCAGTGGCAAACGCAACAGGCCAAGAGGGCATGGGGAAGGGTCGCAATGCAAGGGGAAGGCAGGGGACAGAAACCCAGGTAAAATTCCAGATAGGAAAGTCTCCCCGAATATATTTTATATAAGACAATGCTTATGATATCCAGGTCTGGAAGTGAACTTGCTTGCCATTTCTGTCAAGGCTTGTACATTGTCTAATAAATCATGTACAGAGCAGGGAGGGAGAAACCAGGATGTTAAGCTCATTGAAATTCATGGATGTGTATCGTTCAGCTCAAAGACTGCAGAAGAGGCACAGACTGAAACCCTCAAACCTAGATACTCCGTTTGGCTCTGTCTTAGCTCTCTCTTCAGTGTCTCTTACTCTTCCTGTATCTCCCCCAGTGTCTGCTCTTCCCTAGTCACCGCAACAATGATGATTAATGTCTTTTTCTGGCAAATATACAGCAATGGTGTTAATGAGACATAAAACAACAATCTCATAAAACCAGTGGGGGTGTTTCAGAAAATAATACACCTTCATGATTACCTGTCCTAGTTTACAGAAATTATACTTACTGTGGGAGACACATTAGTAATGAGATAGAGAATAGGTAGAAGGAGACAGAAATTGTAATTTTGAACACAGTTTCAGTCACAAAATTCAGAATGAGAGCTCGGTAGTTAAGCTCTGTTCAAGAACCTACTGACATCCTGAAGAAAACTCTATAGTCACTCAGATCCTAGAGGAAGCCTGACAAATTATTTTTTCATAGGTTGCCTTTAGTTACATTAGTTTTTACATGCATGTAGCATACACTTGTATATGACTCAAGCAGATTGTTATACACTTTTTTTTTTTCATTAGAAATGTGTCCTGAGTAACATTCTTGTGAAAATCTGAAAGCTAAATTTCAGTGTATTTTGCTAAAATTTGCCAGCACTGAATTCTTTGTTTGAATTGTTTGTTTGTTTCTGTGAGATGATAACCAAAGAAAAACTTAGTATTTTCTTCTTGCAGGTAATTTGCCTATAAGGACAACAGATTAACAATGGAACCATCAAAAGAATATCTATTCAAATACAAAGGGTTTTATTTTAGTGTAATTACATCACCTGAGTATGTAGCTTCCCTGGAGGATTTTGAAATCAAAGATAGTGACGTATTTCTAGTTACTTACCCAAAATCAGGTAAGAATGGAATTCTTTCTAAAGCGGGGGAAAATCTGCCTTTATTCAGCCATCTAATTGCGGAAGTACCTAGGGTGGTTAGCTTTGCTTTTAGACCTGAATCATCGCTGAGTCTACGTGGTGTAGCACTAAATACAAACCCTGCACAACTATGGCCTCAACAACCAGACACAAGGTTCCTGCTCATGTCCAGCCAAATTGGTCTACCTCGTTCTTGGACTCAAGTCTTGTAGGTGTACTCAGAGCAAGCTACACACAAACCAACTGACTAAAACACATACATAGTTTTAGTAGGGATGGGTGCATGAGTGTTGGAGATGATTGTGGAATATCTGGAATGATTTGTAGGTTCACATGGAAGGTAAGCTTGGGGTTGCTGCATCCAAATTACAACCAAGCAGGAGATCAGAGCAAGTGTGAGTCAGTGATATATGGCTCCACTCAAAGATAAAGAAGTACTATTTACCTACATAGCAATACAGGACACTAGTGTGATGAATTCTGCATTCCTATTTCTGAAGCAAATGCAACTGAGCAACTACTCTGCTTCACTGTCATTTTACATGAAATCTAAAGCCTTGAGATGCCTAGACCTGTATGTTTCCATACAGGTTCACTTTATGATCTATTACTGGTCTACCCATTTTTCAAGACTGCATTTCTTTAGTGATTGGTAGTTAATGACTTAATCATGCATTAAGCAGTGATTTATGACTATGGCCTTGACATCTCTGGTACCAATCTGTGCTTGTACCTTCAAGGCCTCTGCTATCTTCTGTTTGTACCCTTGGGAACCTCTGCTGTTATCCTTGGGTTTTCTTCAGCAGCCTTCAAATAACATAACCAGTGTTTTGTTAGCATGTCCTTTTCCTAGGGTCGCTGAACATCTTGCTGGAATTCACTACTCCCTCTGGTATTCAGTGAAGAACCTGAGGCAGAAAGACATTCTTGAGCGAAGCCCAGGAGTGGCAGGGAGCACCAGGTGTGGCTGTGGTGAAGTCAGATATGATATGAAAAGCCTGTGTATGGGTCGTGGGCAACAGAGTGAGGGGACAGGGAGCCCAGGCGACGCTGGCTCATCATCGGGCAGCACTGGGGTGAGATGTCCAAGTAAAGCAGAGAAGGATGATGAAAAGGCAGTATTTAAGGGGTAAAGATGTTACAGCACTGAGATAAGCACATCTTTGGAAGTAGGAGTTTCGGGTTGCAAAGTGATGGGCTACCCTGGGACAGGAAATAGTTGGAAGAGGATTTTGAGTTATAAACTGCACAGAATGTCACCTCTTTCTCATTCATACCTTTTCCTCTATCCTCTCTCACCATCCTCGTTCTTCCTCACTAGTTATCAGTCTAAGGTACCCTCCAATCCTTCTGTTGAATCTCATAACACAGCAGAAAAATTGTCCAGGTTGATTATGCCAAGCAGAGCAAGACAGTCAACGCAGCTGTGAAATCACTGTCTATTGCTCCTCTGAATCTTAGGGCTATTTCTTTTTCTTGCCAGTGACTTTAAATCTACAACATGTATACAGTCTAATCTCCAGAACCAAGAGCTTCCTTCCCAGGCGAGGTCTTAAAAACTAGGCTTCAGTTTCAGATGCCTTCCTTTCTCTGTGCTTGTTCAGGGTAACCTACAGCAATAATTCAGCGTTCTTCTGCATTGATCTGGATTCTCTCAAGTGTCCATCTTTACTGGCCTATGGTATAAAAGGGAAAAGTAACCAGTGCTGCTGTCCTGGTTTTGGCTGGAATAAAGTTCATTTTCTTCCTAGTAGCTGGTACAATGCTGTATTTTAGATTTAGAATGACAATAATGTTGATCACACACTGATGGTTTAGGTGTTGCTGAGCCATGTTTGTACTAAGACGAGGACTTTTCAGTTTCTCATTCTGCCCTGCCAGTGGAGGCTGGGAGTGCACAAGAAACTGGGCAGGGATAGAGCAAGGACAGCTGGCCCAAATGAGCCAAAGGGATATTCCATACCATATGATGTCATACCCTGTATATAAACCGGGGGGAGTTGGCTGAGAGGGGTGAATTGTTGCTTGGGGATGGTCTGGGCATCAGTCAGTGGGTGGTGAGCAATTGCATTGTGCATCACTTGTCTTTTATTGGGGTTTATTTCTCTCTCTTTTTACTATATTAATTTTCATTACTATTATTATTTATTATTTTCTTTTAAATATTATTAGTTATTAAACTGCTCTTCTCTCAGTCCACAAGTTTTACTTTTTTTTCTCACCTCTCCTCCCCATCCCACTGGGTGAAGGGAGTGAGCGAGTGGCTGCATGGTGCTTAGTTGCTAGCTGGGGTTAACCCACGACAGCAAGTATAGTGCTGAGAAGGACAGAGGACCTGGAGTTAAAACAGTTCTGCTCATTGCCCAAGTGGGCTAATCATTCGGGATTCCTCTCCCACCATTACCAGCTGGCACATGAACACATACTGGCATGGCAGTCAGCCACCTCCTGCCTTTTAGATTATCCTTTGCCAGCAGCTGGGACCCAGGAGTCAGATCTTCCCCAAGGAACTTTAGAGGCCCTCTGGCCTCAAGCATTGGCTTTGTGGGGCTCATTTGTGCTTTACAAACGTGGTGTTATCAGCTGTTTGATTGAAGACATCTCACAACACTTTGCAGAGTCTGGAACCAAAGGTTTTTTCCAGATCCGCTCAGTACTTCTAGTTGCGTGGCCCACAGAGATGCAGCACTTCATGTTGCCACAAGAGGGTGAGGACAGGCATACTTTGTGGAAGTTAAGCTTACTGAGTGAAGGAACTGAAGATTTAGTTACTGGCCATGGCTTTTCCACAGGGACAAAACAAAAATATGCTGCTTCTGTACTCAACAGTCACCAAGACAACGTTTGCTTTCTTCAGTATGTGAAGTTGTATTTATATTCACAAAGCGAAACTCATTATAGCTGTGCAGAGCCTCAATTTATGACAATATACTATCTTTCATTTAAAAAAATAATCAAGCAAGGTTCAAATAAAAATGTTTCCTTCTCAGGAACTGTGTGGACTCAGAACATTTTGAGCTTAATAGTTCATGAAGGACACCGTAATGGAACAGAAAATGTGGACAACATGGAAAGAATCCCATGGCTGGAATACAAATCAACCGATAAGGATTATGCAAATTTTCCTTTGCCTCGTATTTTTGCCAGCCACCTGCCTTACTACTTGGTTCCAAGAGACCTGAGAAATAAAAGAGGACGTGTAAGTGATGTTATTTTTACACTTTTCTTAAAACTAATCATGGCAGTTTGCCTCAGTGAATTGGTGCAAATCCTACCTTTTTCCTCTCTCAGTTCCTCATGTCTCAGTATAAATATCACACGCTTTGTGTATGCAGGGGGTCAGGGACCTTCTAAAGCTCATTTCTTCTGTTTCTTTTTTTCCCAATCTCTCAGCCTCAACACCGTTGGAGAGAGGGGTGATGCATCTCAGGAAGATCTGCCAGGGTCAAAAACTTGCAGATTTTCCCCTTGTGAAAATGTCTGATTCCAGAAAAGTTATAAGTCTGAAAAACAGTCTCCCACACTGAAATCATGAGTACGATGGCACTACAGTCAGTAGAGAGGGAATCACAGAATCACAGAATGTTAGGGTTTGGAAGGGACCTCGAAAGATCATCTACTCCAACCCCCCTGCCAGAGCAGGACCACCTAGAGTAGATCACACAGGAACACTTCCAGGTGGGTTTTGAATGTCTCCAGAGAAGGAGACTCCACAACCTCTCTGGGCAGCCTGTTCCAGTGCTCTGTCACCCTCACAGTGAAAAAGTTTTTCCTTATGACTGCCTTTTCTTGCTCCCCCGTGCTGCGAGTTTCTGAATAGGACTCTCCATCATGAACTGTGCCGTAGCCCAGGGCCTGTCTCTCATGGGAAATGACTCCTTAGAGACAGGTGTAACCAGGCTACTGCAGTAAGGGTCACTGACAGAACATGGACATACGGACCTGCAAGTCTGAAGATGTGTACGGGATGTACACTTCTAACAGCACACCGGGAATTGCCTTAGCTGCCTTAGATTGATTTGTTCCTTTGCTCCCTGGCAAAGGATCACGTACTCTTGCTGGTCTTTCTTATAGTGGTTCCAATGACTTCTGCCCCTTCCATCCTTGTTTCTGATGTAGGGCTTCCCATGGCTGAGCAAGTGGAGAGCTGTGGCAGAGCTCTGCCCGCAGTGCTGCTGTTACCTCCTTCACTGATACAGGTGTAATGGGAAACTGCAAGGTGCTCACCATTTTATTCACAGTACCAGTGAGGGTTGGAAGAGAAAGCTCATATGCAGAAGATTTGAAATCCAAATGATGCCCAACAAAGAATGGGAAAACTGCCCAATCACACTGAGCATGCATGTCAGAAAACAAGGACCTTTTCCACCTCTGCTTGAACATGTCACCCAGGTTGTTCATATTTTGTACCAAACCATAGAACAACTTTTTCTGTGATTTCTCTGACTGCAGGTCAGAGCTTTTGAGCTAGGCGTTTACTGTGTTTTTCCACAATCCATTTAGGAATCCTTGTTTTATATACCTTGGAAATAATGGGTTTGGTTTTGTTAATCAGATTAATTTTCAATTAAGCAGGAATCAAAAGCAGTCATTTTACCCAGTTAGAAAGGCAATCCGAGAGCGTGATTCTGCTGTCCCTCCCTGCAAACATTTGTAACCTTGTAAGGGCAACATGGCAGGCTCTATCTTCTCACCCTAATTAGACACCAAGCGTTAGGGAGCAGAAACTTAGTAGAAGCTGGCACATGCTGCCAGCTGAAAGGCAGAGGGCTGACCATTTCACTGGTGGTGCATGGTCTGTGCCTGAGGCAGCAGCTCTCCTGTGGTCAGGAGTCAGCAGGAGCCAAAATAACCCCTGCCCTTAACAGCTCCTTCTTTTAAGATGCCAGGGCTCCCTCTAGACCCGCACTGCAGGCCAGGAGTTGAGGTCACAGAGTCCTGATGCCATTAACATTATCAAAGCTGGGATTTACAAGAAATTCTTCTTAATTTCATCATGATTGTACACAGAAATGTGAAGCTGAATCAACCTAACAATGTTCTATGTTATTGTTATTGCAACCTGACTGCCTTGCACAAGTGAACAGTATCACTGAAGCCTGTAACACTGATCTTGTGAAGAGAGGGAGAGTTAGCCGCAGGCACTGAATGACTGCAACTACAGAAACATCACCACCTATAAACAAATCGACAGCACTATGTTATCCGGAATTTACCTAATGTCATTGTCACCTTCAAACTGTTTTCAGACATTTTTAGTGGGACCTGTATGGAAAAATGCACTGATGCTCACGGTAATGGAGTCCTTTACTATCTCTAAGACCAGTCTTCTTACTGTTTTGCAGGTTATTTATGTTACCAGGAACCCTAAGGATGTTATGGTTTCTTACTACCACTTTTCCAAATTCATGTCCACAGTAGAGGAAGTACCAGATTTTAATATTTTTATGGAGAGATTTTTAGCTGGCAAAGGTAGGATATCTGTTTTACTAAGGAGCCCAATTCCTATTCCATGACCTTAGATTGAATGCAGATTAATTATATCAATAAATATCAATTACCAGAATCCTCAGCTATGCTGTAACCTGAATCCAAAGCTTCCGAAGCTGTCTGAGCTTGACAACATTTTCTGATGAAAGCTGGTCCAAAGGGAGTAGTGTAGACATGGCTTTGCTGCTCCCCAACAACATGCAAGGTGCTGATCTTATCTGAATTGGATGCTGATTCAGAATATAACTGTTATGACTGAAAATCTCTTAACTTTCTGTACTTTGTTAGTGGAGCTGAACCCATAAGAACAGACACCGTACGACAAGGACAGAGAAGTAGCTTTTTGCTTCTGCCAGCATCAGTTCAGATTACTAGAAACAAAAGGGCATTTGCCATGTTAGCTCAGAGAATAGTCACAAGGACTGTGAGCATGCATCCCCCAAATTAGCAAAAAATAGCATTTAAAAAAACCCTTTCAAGGACCTAAGTGATAATTTTATTGTTTTACTGCTAGCTGTTAATAGTATTTCTCTTTATTTTTTTGTTTTGATAATTTCCCTTGCAAAGTACTTGCCAGTTCGTGGATGGATCATGTTGCAGGCTGGTACAGTCATGCAGAGGATTTCAATATACTCTTCCTTACTTATGAAGAAATGAAAAAGGTGAGGTCAATTAGTATCACTGTATTCAAGATATTAACTTCCTATACTGAGTGTATTTTCAGAAAGCTCTTTATAATTACACTTTACATTGGAAAGTGCCTAATCCATCCTGGAGTCAATTGAGACTTCTGAGAGGAGGAAGCCATTTGTCTCATTGGTTCAAGGTCTTATCAATTACTAGACAATTATTAGGTAAAATACTTTCCAATATGACAGAAGTTATCTTCACTGCCAGTCCAAAAAACCCTTTCTGAAGTAGTACAGAACAAGACTTCCACAAGTATCTGCAACAGGAATGTTGTGCTCATAAGGACAGTTCCACTAAAGGTGGAAGAGGTGCTTAAGAGCCAGGCTTTAAAGCACTTGAGAAGCTCTGAAATTGCTAAGTCTCCTGCTTGGTGGCTGCCCACACCTTTGTGCGACTTCTCATTTCTCCAAGGTGGCTGCCCCTCTCCTTGCAGACAAGCCCTGGAGCGCCCCAGCCACTGCACTGTTCCCTCAGGCTTCAGAGCCTGGGCTGGCTCAGGTCGAGTCCCTTGCTAGGACAACAAGACTGACAAAACCCCTGTGGGTTGAGTGCCTTCATGGTTACAGGCGTGATTCCAGGGGTGACTTTGCCAGGACACCTAATGCAAGATGCAGCCTGGGTTTGCAGCGTGGGGAGCAGAACACAGAATTCCCCATCTCCAAGGGCACAGTGCTGCAGTGAGCTACAGCATCACTGTTCTCCAGTATTCAAATGATGCAAGCAAACTATGCTCACACAAAAATGGCCAGTTTTGCACCCAAATGTATGTCCTTTATTGTCCTGTATTCCACTACCGTATGCATTTAGTTCTTTGCATGACCAAGACTCTTCAAAGTAACATTATTGCAGGATCTCAGAAGTGCCGTGCTGAAGATCTGCAACTTCCTAGGCAGGAAGCTGAGTGAAGAGGAATTAGACAGTGTTGTACAACAGGCTACGTTTGAGAACATGAGAAAAGATCCCAGGGCAAATTATGAGAACCTGCCAGATGACATCGCAGCGAAAGACAAGGGCAGTTTTCTACGAAAAGGTAAATTGGAAGCGGTCCAATGCAACAACTATTTAATCCCACACTTCCTGGTGAGATGGACCAAGGGTTTCCGGTCTCAGCTGGAATGCCCCGTTTGCAGAGGGGGAGCTCATGTTAGTGGCAAATTAAATTTATAAAAGCAGTTTATTGCTGTGGCATCAGTGATTTTACTGTATTTTTATAAGGATAATAAAAAGGTAGTGTTTTACTGATTTTAAGGTTGTAACAGGCCTGTCAGATACAGGAAAGGATATAACGGTTGTACCGAGCCAGGGGCAACATAACACTTCTTTTTACTGTTTCTTACTTTTCAAGGTAAGAGTCGCCTTGTGTGAGCATAGACCTTCTTGACCAACTACGCTCCAAGTCTTTTTTGCATTCCTGGGCATTGCTAAGATGTCCTAACGCTCAGTGTAGGAGACCTTCAGGGATTAAAGAAAGTGGTACACTGAAAGAAAAATAAGAGGTGTTGATTTTAATTTCCTCTTTGATCTCAAAGAAACCAGCAAAACACCAGAACAAATGAGCCAAATAACTTTATGAGGAGTCAGGATGATGGCTCACAGCACCTAGCTTTGGAGGCCGCTTCTCACAAGAGTACACAGTCTCACTCAGCAGGCCAGCCACTGGGAGATGCTGAGGAAGCCACGAATTGCTTCCCAAGACTACCACTCACCATTTGCAGAGGGCTTTGGAAGGGTACACTTTTTGCTTCTCACCTCCCTTTGCTGCCTCTTTCCTCAGGCACTGTTGGAGACTGGAAAAACATCATGACAGTGGCACAGAATGAAAGGTTTGACAAAGAGCTTGAAGAGAAAATTAAGACCCTGCCCATCAAATTCATGTGGGATATTAATGATGAAATGTAGGCTGGTTCTGAGTTCATCATCCTTTGGTGTTTATACTGGACGGACATATCTGAAGTTGTGGAAGAAGAAAACGTATCCATTTTCAGCTGTTATAGAAGTAGTAACGATGACAACTCCATCGCAAAATGTGAGTTGTCTGAGGAAGCTATTCAATTCCACCAGTTTCCTGTCTGTAATTTTACAAGGTATTTTAATTAACTTTCTTAGCAAATGGACTTCCTTTCTTCATATTTCCTTTTTCTTTAATTGGCTTTAGTAATACCAGAGTTGTAGACAACCAAGTAAAGATAGACTGGTGTTGCTAAAAACTTTCTGAAAAATGTTTCACTTGTGCACTTTGTGAGGTTTCTTGTGGCAGAATCTTCAATGTCCAGAATAGGAAAAAGATTGACCAGCTGTGGTATGATTATGCTTTGGTATGTTTGAATTCCTATTTCCTTGGTAAACACCGCTACTCAAGCATTTGCTATTAAAGTGTCCTTTATGTTGCATTCTCTGGTGTCACCTATTGACTGAAACACTTCATTGCATTCTCTGTTATGGTTCTCAAGGACATGTTTGACAATCTGCTACCTGAAATATTGAGAAAAAACACAAACCATAGTTACAGCGGTTTTGAAGTGAATGTCCGCTCTATCATACCCAATGATCTGCTAGAGCTACTGACGCAAAAAAACTACCAGCTGTCTATGTGTCCTTCCTCATATATTCATTGACTCACTATCGTGGTTTAACCTGTCCATGACTCCACGCAGCAGCTTGCCCAGGGGCTTCCCATGAAAAGATCATAATGGAGACATACCTCAAGATTATTTTTTTTTCTATCAACAACTCAAAAAATACTTTACCTGCTTTTTCCTGGACAGAATTACTCCATGCACTACATAGTTAGCTGCTTCTACTAGGCAAAGGTGGCCTCATGTAATTAGCCTACAAGACGAACCTTTCCATGTCCTTCAACTGTACAGCCAGATCATCTTTCCTTCTGGAACTTTGTATCCCTGATACCAAGAAAACGTTACCAAAAAACCCCTTATGCCACTTACGTAACTGCTGCATCCCCTGATCTCTGAGTCTGAACCTCCCACAAACTGCTGACCTTTTCCGTCTGTACATATTTACCCTGCCCAAAGAAAGGGTAAAACTAGTTCAAAGCCAGAAGCCTAGTGCACGTCTTTTGCTGCGTTTGCCTCAAGTACAAACAGAACTCCTGATTACACATAGGACCTTGATCTTTACTCCTTTTCCAATGGCAGGAAGTCCAGCACAATAATAAAAGCTATATAAACCTCACAGATGCTGCATGTCGCAGCCCAATGGTATCAGCTCACTCTAGCAGTTGCAGATTTCACGAGCATGCAGTGCAGAAAATAAAATTGAGTTCAGGGCAATAAATGCAATTATGTCAAAGAACTGAACCCGAAAAGACTCTCCCCGCTCCCTCCTACTCCAAACCAAGCTGCAAGGCACCAAAGGGCTAACTACAAAAGCCAAAACAAAACAAAAGGTAGTATTTCAGGCCCTGTCAGATTCTGCAACACGAGGGAGAGCGTGCTCACATGACAGCTCCTTCTCTCAGCACCTAGGGTATCAGCATCTTGGATCCTGGCACAGCGTACTGTCTGGTCCAACACACTCCGAATTTATTTCAGCAACCACACGGAGGTAGCCTGATGGTTGTAAGTCTCCTAGGAGAAAGACTGATGTTGATTCTCCCCACAGGAAACGTCCTTCAAGCTCCCCGTTTTTGGCCAAAATAGGAAGGAAAGCAAAGAAGGCAGAGCTCAGGCACCAACTATTCAAAAAGTTCAGCATGATCAAAACTAAATTAGCTCTGGTTGTAGC